CAAGTGAGCTCGTCCTCAGATGGGCAAGGGCAGAACCCCACCTCCAGGGATGCTAGCAGGAAGAGCCTTGGCTTCCAGCTCCATCTCTGTCACTCACATGTTGGGTGCCAGGTCACTGACTGGGATTTGGTTTCCTTTCTGATACTCAGGGTAAAGATTCATGCCCTTTTCACTGGCATCAACTTCCTTTGTGTTGGGTGGGCATCATTCCTGTGGCATCCCCATTGTGAGTGATCAGGAAGCAAGATGGTGTAATGATTCCATAAGCAAGATCTGGAGGCAGAGAGGCTGGTTCAAAGGTTCCACCAGCTTTGTAAACTGGAACAAATTACTTAACCTCTCCAAGCCTCCGTTTTCTCATCTGTGAAGTAGGGATAATTTAAACAATAGTAACTTCTTTCTAGAAATGTTGTGAGGTAAGGACAGCCACGTGTGTGAGGTGGCCCCAAGCGAAAGGCCGATATGACAGCCATTATGCTGCTGCTGCTGAAGATGTAGGTTATACCCAGTATTCCTCCCATATGTGCGATTCCATGAAAACAAGGAGACAGAACATCTTTGTGCACGTGAGGGTCTCCTGAGTGGGTAAGATCGGGAAGGCAGTGGGGAAGTCCAGTATGTGTGTGCGCATGTGCGCGTGCGCATAGGTGTGCGTTGTGCATATATGTGAATGTGTGTGTGCATGCATGTGTGTTTGTGTGCCTGTGTGAGTGCGTGAGCATGAGTGCACGCATGTTCGCATGTGTAGGAGCTGTCCGGGCCCCCCAGGCAGGATCTGTCCTTGCATGGACAGGCAGGGAGAGGATGACCACCTTCTCCAGTGGTCTGCTTCTTCTCTGTCAAACACAGGCCTGGAAGAGAGAGGCTCTAAAGGCTCTTGCAGCTTTCTGGTTGTAGATTGTAGAAGAAGAAAAAGAAAAGCTTCCTTTTCTTTTTCCTTTCTTTTACTAAGCAAAACCGTAAAATAATAAAAGTGGGGATTTTGTTGTTGTTGTTTTTTGTTTTAGTGATCTGGCCTGCTTTGGTGACCCACCTCCAAGCCCTAGGGTCTTGTGCTTTCCTGCTCCTTCTCTCAGGCCTCTCGTTCCCAAGGAAAGAGCCACTATCACTGTAGTATGAATGACCACCTGTTAGTCTGTTCTTTCTTACAGGTCTTTGCACAGTAAGCTGACCTTTTAGTGGGATTGTGAGCCAAGTTTTAAGCAGCAGTGATGGGGTGAGGAGATTTGGAGAGACAGAATTTAGGGGGATTTCTCTGTGCTTCTGAAATCTTCCTAGGAGGAGGGTCACAGTTGGGGCTAGTTTTATGGGGGATAATACAGAGCATTATGCCTCGCCCTCCTCTTTCCGCCAGCCATGTAGCGTCCCTGCTACAGGCAGGGGTGGCCCTTCATCCCGGCCCCTCCCCCTTTCTGTCCTCTCCTGCTGACCCCTCATGTTCCAGGCCCCACCCTCATCCCCATCGTCCCGAGTTGGGTCTCTTTGCCCAGGGCCACGCCTCAGAGGGTGGGTGGGAAGGGCCTTCTCCAAGAGGGAGCCCCCGGCCCAGAGTGTCCAGTCCTGTGAGGGCTGCTGGAGCGGGGCCCCTCTGTCCCATGCAGCGCGTGCCCTCCCATCTGCACCGTGAGCCTGTGCGGCCTGTGGTCTAACTAGTGTGTGTGCCCCCAGCGGTCAGCAGGCACTCCCGGCCCTCCCAGGAAGGTGAGGGTTCGTCTTCAACTTCTCTGCTTCTGAGCTGCCATCTCATCCAGTGCCCTGAGTAGACGGAATGGAACACTGAAAATAAAACCGTCTTTCAACAACAACAACAAGAACAAAATAATAATAATAATAATAATAATAATGCAGTAGAAAGCTCAAGCTGCTTTCTACTAAGGGAGAACAGTGCTCCAGAGTCCAGCAAAGCAGGCGCGCAGGTCTCCTGCTTGTGGGAGGCTGGGATGTGCAGAGCACTGTGGCCCTGGCTTCCCCCGAAGGGCACCGTGGGAGCCTCCAGGAGGCAGAGAATCAGGGCAGGGCCAGGACAATGGTGCCCTGTGGCGGTGCCAGGGAAAGCGTTTTCTCTGCTTTCTCTTCTCCCACACCAGTGCTGGTCTCCCAGGGGTGGTTGTGGCCCAGGAGACCCACATTGAGGGACCCTGAAACAGGTTGCTGGCTTTACAGCTTCAGAGAAGGGAAGGGGGTGAGTGATGGAGCCACACCTCTGTGCATCTTCAGTAGCCACAGTGAAAGAAGCAAGGGAGGTGGAGCCAGACAGACCTGGCTTTGAATGCCAGCTGGACTTACCCTGCAACTGGAAGCAGTCATGTCTGCTCAGGAAGCCTCAGTTTCTTTGGGGATTGAATGAGTCTAATATTACCCACGTCATAACATTGCTATGAAGACCTGGCAGGCTAATAACAGGGGATTTGCACTTGGTAGGGGCTGAACAAATATTAATTCTTGACTTGGCTTCCTGGCATCCCAGGAGAGGTGACTATTTCTCCCCTCCCCCTAACATGGTTTCAAAGATTGTTTTTTTTTTTTCAGGGTGGTGATAAATTTCCCTTCTTGACAGAAGAGGGTTAAAGTCCAGGCCTAAGATTCTTTTGGAGCTATCCTCTCCTGGTGGCCTTCATCCTCCAGTTATTTACTAGTCACTTGCTCCTGGCCAGGTGCTGGAGATCAGGCCAGGCTTAGGGTGGCCTGAGGGGAAAGCTAATGGTCCAGGCACACAGCCTAGCCCACCAATATGCTCACTGCCTGCCCCCATCACAGGACTGCATACCCAGGTACACAGACATCACCTGTATGCAAACTATACACTTTTTGATTTTCCGCCCCACAGCAGATATATACGCAGCAAATGTACATTGAGATATACACAGAAATCTCCAACCACACACAGGAACCCACACAGGAAAGACACAGAATAGGCAGAGGCTCCCAATACAAAGGTATAGTCATAATGATAATTATCACAGTTAACACGTATTGCACACTTAATATACACCAAGTATTATTCTAAGCCTTTTCCAGAGAATAGTTTAATTCTTACAATGTAGAGAAAGTTACCTTTTTATCCCCCATTTTACAGATGAGGAAACTGAGGGACAGAGACGTAAAATAAGATGCATTAGGTCACAGAGTGGCCTGGCGCGGATACAAGCACTGATTGCCCTCCCCCTGGCTCCTCAACGCCATTTATTTATAAAGACACATTGAAACGCGTCATTCTCCCCATCCCAGACCTGCCCTGTACACACCCAGGGTGAGCGCCCTTTGTGGGAGCTAGTAGCAAAAGACGCAAGAAATGGCTTGTCAGCAGAGCGATCGATAAGCTTTGCGGAAGAACAAGACCGGTGACAAGACGTTTCAAAGGTAGTGGCGGTGATCGAAAGCCTTGCGGGACGACGGGACAGCCGGCTTGAAGCACTAGACACAGCGCAGGGGCAGCGGATGGGCGCTCACCGGCTGTGCGATGGACCCTCGTCGAGCGGCGAGTTTGGTGTGTATGGAGGGCCTAGCCAGGACTCTCCGCAAAGTCTCTCCCTGCGCCGGTGCCTGCACCCCTTTCCGAGAGAGCAACCTAGAGCCTGAGGCCAAGCAGGCTTAGATTTTTAGCAGAAAGGCCGCAGCGCTCGACCGCGCCCTCAGGCCGACCCGACGGCGGGCACTAGGGCGAGGGTCTGACATTTTACCCCAAGGGGCGCACCGCGTTCCATCCAGGCGCGCACCAAGTTCTTGGTGCACTTTTTACGGCAAAACAACAATAGCCACCATGGTTAGATACATGTTATTTATAATTCATGGGCCAGTCTTCGAACCCTTTCAAACAAAACCCACAGCGATTTCTTTGAAAGAAAGAAATGCTTGGACTCTGCTCCGAAGTGGTGGATTTTCCAAGGACCGACAAACCCGTGCACAGATAGTAAATTAACCCGCGCGCTACATTTGTTTCTGATTATTTGCGTTGCAGTTGGTTTGTGAAATGAAACAGAAGAGTTTATAAAAATCGCTTATTTGGGAAGTAGGACACACATTCGACGCCAGCATTGAGCCCAGGAGGACCTGTGTTATTCGGGTGGGGAAAAGATGAGGGGAGTCCCTGTTAAATTACCGTCCTCCCACCCCCTCCAAACCGCCAAATGCAAGGCAAGGCTCTAATCAGGATCCGACAAGCATCTTCGGATTCTGCGTTCTGGAGCTACCCATCTAATGCTCCAACTTGGAGAAGTTTTCCCCAGGCGTGCGGATGAGGGAAGTCTAAAGAGAGTTTATCCAAACCCCATTGGTCGTTCCCTAACTTCTCTCTCTAGCTTGGACCTTGAGAACAAAGGCGCACGAGAGAAAGGTGATCGGCTGGACGTTGATGGTTATGTCCAAACAGACCGCCCTTTCCCCCTGCTCTCGTTCCAAAAGAGCGGATTTTTAATTTTTTTTAATTTGTGAAAGAAGGGAGCATTTAAAGGAGAGGCCTCCCCCCGCCCCCCAACTCCCCAGGTATCCATCACCCCGCTCGGGCATGCCTGCGGAGACTGCCCGGCAAATCCAAGAGGAAGCTCAGAGCTGCGGTGGCCGCGGAGCCAGCTCGGCGGTGACGCCAGGTCCAGCAGCGAGAGCCCGACGGGGGCCGGAGAGAGGATCCTTGTAGATTTCGGACGAGGGGGCTGCGCTCCATTGTTCACTCCGGGCCAATCAGGGTTTGCCCATTTCCTTGCAGCCAATCCCCCGTCACCCTCGCCTTCCACCCAAGCCACCCGGCCCTACAGGCCCCGGGTCCCCATTACCTCCCCCGCATCCCCCGCGATTCTGGGGAAGCTTCGTGACGCCACAGGTCCCGCCCCCAGCCCCGGCCCCGGGCGAATGCGTGCTGACGTCATGCTGCGTGCGGGCCGGTGCGGAATCGCTCCTTCAACTCAGCGGGGCAGGAGGAGTTAGTTCCCCAAGAGCAGAGGCTGGGCGCGCGACCCTCGTCCTTCTGCCCCTGGCCGCACGCTTTGCGCACATCTCTTTTCTGCATGGTGGATATTATTTTTCATTATCCTTTTCTGGGTGCTATGGGGGATCATTCCAAGAGTAAGTCTTTCTCTCTGTATGTGGGTGTGTATGTGCTTAATATGCAATATTTCTAATGCAGAAGAATGTTTAGCGGATTCTACAAGTGGCTTCTATTTGACAGGACGCTGGGAGAGAAAACAAACAAACGAATGCATTTCTCCTGCGGGGCACTTGTCCTTTGGAATCCTGTCGTTCTAATTTGCAATTAAACATTCTTTCTCAGTGTTAGGCGGCTAGGCTGACCTCAGGCTGTGAAATCTGCTTCTGTTTTGCGCTAGGGCAATTAGATTGGATTTGGGGATGTGGGCTCTTTTGCTTGTTTGCAAATCTTTTTGGCCTTTCCAAGTAGGCAGCTTTCTCTAGCTTGATCTGGGATATTTAAGAAATGTCAGAGAGGATGAGAAGAGACTCCGATGAAAGCCGATGTGTCTGTGTTGGGATTGGAGGGAGTCGCTGTAAGAGGGAGTGTGTGGACGGAAATGCCGGAACATCACCGTTCAGTATTGATGCGGTGGCGTCCGCAGTGCTTAAATGTCTTCTTATTCTTTCTTCTCACCTACATATTAACCTTTAGTTACAAGATATATCCATAAAATGACTGTGTCCAAATGAATGTAATAGCGAAAAAAAAAATGGGGGTGGAGAGGAGACAAAAAGCCTTCGCAAATTCAGAAGGTTTTGGGTTTTTTTTTTTTTTCCGTTTCCAATTGTTTGTACGTTTAGAAAGCCCACTTCTTGTAGTCGCAATTCTTGAAAGGGAACGAGAGAGCGAGCGGGTTGCGAGCGGGTTGGGTTGAGGTTGGAGTGGCCGAGGCCGGCCCGGGTCGGGGGAGCCTAGCCTGACGCGGGCCCCGCGCCCTTCCTCGGCAGAGAAGCTCGGGACCGCCATGTGCGTGGGCTGCGGGAGTCAGATCCACGACCAGTTTATCCTGCGGGTGTCGCCCGACCTGGAGTGGCACGCCGCCTGCCTCAAGTGCGCCGAGTGCAGCCAGTACCTGGATGAGACGTGCACGTGCTTCGTGAGAGACGGGAAGACCTACTGCAAGCGGGACTATGTCAGGTGAGGCCGGCGAGTGCCGGGGCTCAGCGACCGCCTACCGCGGTTGGGGCTGGGGGTGACGGCTCGTCTGCGCTCCCCGCCCTGCGGAGAAGGCCACCCCTACTCCGAACGGGTGCCGCCGTGAGCTTCTGGGCCCGCGAACTCCCCGAGGGCCGGTCCCCGCAAGCTCCCTGTGGGCCACAAAGCGTCCTGGGCCCGCGTGCCCGGAGCCGGTCGCAGCCCGGGAGGCGGGACGGGCCTCAGGCCCCTCGCTGACACCGACCGCGCCTTGGGCCCGCAGGCTGTTCGGCATCAAGTGCGCCAAGTGCCAGGTGGGCTTCAGCAGCAGCGATCTGGTGATGCGGGCGCGGGACAGCGTGTATCACATCGAGTGCTTCCGCTGCTCCGTGTGCAGCCGCCAGCTGCTGCCCGGCGACGAGTTCTCGCTGCGGGAGCACGAGCTGCTCTGCCGCGCCGACCACGGCCTCCTGCTGGAGCGCGCCGCGGCCGGCAGCCCGCGCAGCCCCGGCCCGCTCCCCGGCGCCCGCGGCCTGCATCTGCCAGGTAAGCCGCGCGCGCCGGGCCCGGCGCCCCCTGCGCCGTTGTGAGTGCGTGTTACCGGAGTGCTTGTGCTCGGACGAAAAGTTGTCACTCGTGCGCGGTTCCGTTTGCCAGGATTGTTTCTGTGTGAGTGAGGATCTGTGGCTAGGAACACAGCCGAGTGTGTTTGTGTGTGTGTGCGGGGGGGGGGGGGCGGCGGCCAAATCGTTTGTGGGTCAACATGAAAAAGGATTGTGTGTAGAGGAGTGTCTGAGCATGGGGAGAAGTGTGTTCTCTGTGGTCAGGAATATGTGGGACAGTCCGCTAGGAGAAGGAGGGTGAATGACAACAGAATCTGAAGCGGTGCCTGTCTGGGGAACTTGTATGGGGAATTTCAAGCACTGTGTCACTGCCAGAGAGGAAAGATAGGTTTGCCTGGGGGTATGTGTGTAAGGAATACATCTCCCATCCTAGAGCTGGGCCTGGGCTCAGCTAGCTAGAAGGCCAGCCGCCCCAACAAAGAGTCGGTGTCTGTGTTTGTATTTTGAGATCCAGTGTGATGAACAACTTAGCCGAGTGCTTCTCCGTGGGGAGCGTGTGGCGGCACAGTGGACTTGGGGTCATAGAAAACACTTCAGGGGATGATGCTCTGGGTCCTAATCAGGATCTGCCCAGAGATGGCGTCTGAGTGTGTGGTTAGAGGGCAAGGATGGTGCCCCCAGGCTGGGCAGCTCCTAGCAGGCAGCCACAGACCTGAAGCACCAATCTCCAGACCTGTCTGAGCCTCCGGGTGCTGTGTGGTCGTTTAGTGCTCCTCCCCTCTCTGGTCCTCTCTTGCCTCCCCTATAGAAGGAGGAAATTAAGCTGGATGGGCTATTTGTAAATATTTATTCAGACCTAGAAATGCCTGAAGGAGGATATAAAGTGAAACAGTGCAGCATGTATCCATGGGTGTGTGGACCTGGTTTGGATGGGGTGTGAAAGGAAGCTCTGTTGAGTGCCCCGGATTTCGGGTCTCAGAGGGACTCCCTTTTGTGTGTTGCGGGTTTCAGGCTGCGGGCCGCGGGGGCCAGGCTCTATTTACCCGGGGTTGAGAGGACCCAAAGCCCAGCGAGAATGCTAGCCGCTGCGCGCAGGCCGGGAGGGTGAGCTGCCGCTGGGCCAGCGAAGCTGGAGTCTTAAACGAGGAGACCCGGGAGCTGAGGCCCGCGGGCTGGCAGGAAAGAACGTTCTGTCCCTTGAGGCCCATCCTGCCCCATGCTGGGTCTTGGCGGCCTTGACTGAGTGGCCTCTGCAAGAGGAGGGATGGCTTTCGCAGGCCCCGGAGGCAAGCCCCCTAACCCCGAAGCAGCGCGGCGCTCTGGGCCCCTGTCGGCCCCCTTCCCCCTCCAGAGTCCCGGGAGCTCCTCCTTCTTCTTCCTCTGAAACTCCGACTTCTTCCGGAGGGCCTCCTTCGTCCCGCAGGGCCCAAGCGGGCATTCCTAGGGTCGGGTAAGTGGAGGAGGCACAGCCCGCAGCGGCCACCCCCGCCCGGCAGCCGCCTAGCGCAGGATCCCTACGCCCTGCTGGAGCTCCGGGGACAGCGCTGCGGGGCAGACCGATCGCGGAAGTGGGGAAGGGACGAAAACGCACAGCTCCCTCGGGGTAGGGCGAACAGCTGGAAAGGGAGACGAACAATAAAACGAAATCAACGGAATAGAAAAGGAACGAAATAGGGCCTGGGAGGGCTTGGCCGCCGCAAGGAGGGGCACGGGCAGGAGCCTGGCGGCCCCTCGCTCACGTCCTGTCCGCCTGTCCTCGCAGACCCCGGGTCGGGCCGGCAGCCCTCGCTGCGCCCGCACGTGCACAAACAGACGGAGAAGACGACCCGCGTGCGGACGGTGCTCAACGAGAAGCAGCTGCACACTCTGCGGACGTGCTATGCCGCCAACCCGCGGCCCGACGCGCTCATGAAGGAGCAGCTGGTTGAGATGACGGGCCTGAGCCCACGGGTCATCCGCGTCTGGTTCCAGAACAAGCGCTGCAAAGACAAGAAGAAATCCATCCTCATGAAGCAGCTACAGCAGCAGCAGCACAACGACAAGACGGTGAGGGAGCCTGTAGCGGAGGAGCGGGGCGGGGGTTGGGGGGAGGGCGAGTTCTCGCCGCCGCATCTGCATGCCCTTTTCTGGGCGGGCTCTGGGAACGTCCGGGGGCAACTGGACTCTGCAAAAGCGTGTGCTTGCGCGTTCAGAGCGAGGCTTACGTTGGGGATTAGGCTCCTGAATTGTTGTACCCGAAGTCGGGGCTTCTCCTTGCTGCAGCCGCAGCGCTGAGCTGGCACATCTGCCAGCCGGAGGCGGCATGGTTATGCATCTCCCGCTCCTCCGGGCGGGTTGTGTCCTCTTGGCATGGCTTGGTTTTGAACACTTTTCCTCTCGAAAACTGGGAACACAGGCCTCGAATTCCTTTGCCCTGGTGGCTCCCAGCGCTGAGGCTGGACTATGGTGGAGGTTTCTGTGTCGGGGCATCTCAACTGGGGAAGGAGGGCTCATCTGGTTGTGGTGGAGTGTGCGTCTCCCCCCAAACCAGGACCCAAATCTCTGGCCAGTGCCTGGGGCCTCAGTGCCAAAGGCGTGGGAGACGCAAGGCCTAACTTGAGGGTCCCTCACTCCCACTTCCTCTTGTCCCTCAGAGCCTCCAAGGACTGACCGGGACGCCCCTCGTGGCGGGCAGCCCCATCCGCCATGAGAGTGCTGTGCAGGGCAGCGCAGTCGAGGTGCAGACGTACCAGCCGCCGTGGAAAGCCCTCAGCGAGTTTGCCCTCCAGAGTGACCTGGACCAACCCGCCTTCCAGCAGCTGGTGAGGTCCTGCCCTATCCACCCCGACCTCAGGAGCCTGAGGGGTGGGATTTAGCCCCTTGGCCGAGGTGGGAAGGGGGTACTTTCCAGGGGACAGCTGTAGGCAATGAGAGGGGCCAGAGGTTGGGGGCGGACTGCAACTGCACCTCGGCCCATACATAATTCGCTCTAAAGCAAGTCTCCCTGGATTAAAGCCCTCGAAAGGGAGGCCAAGGGATTAACCAACTCGAGCTCCTGCCCTAATACCCTAGTGCGCTTGGGGACCTGGCCCACTTCTCTGAAGGGCTTGCTCCCCGCCGGCGGCTTGTACCTAAGGGACACCCCCGGCTCAGCACGGTCTGGGAGCACCAGCTCCGGAGTCTCTTCACCCGCCTTTTCCTGGTGTCTCTGCATCTTCAGGTCTCCTTCTCTGAGTCTGGCTCGTTAGGCAACTCCTCCGGAAGCGATGTGACCTCCCTGTCCTCTCAGCTCCCAGATACCCCCAACAGCATGGTGCCGAGTCCCGTGGAAACGTGAGGGGACCCCATCCTCGCCAGCCCGCGGACCTCGCATGCTCCCTGCATGAGACTCACCCATGCTCAGGCCATTCCAGCTCCAAAAACTCTCTCGTCTTTGTAATTATTATTATTGTTATTTAAAGAGAGAGGACAGAGAAGCGGTCAGGACAGCTCCAGGATGAAACCTGCTTTCACCCGACCAGAGAGCCCTGCTCCAAGAACTTTTATTTTTTCAAAACCAGAATTTGGAATTTACTAGAGTTAGCTCTGCCCTCTCCTCTTCCCTCGCTCCGCGTGGCCGCCGCCGCTCTGTCCACGCCCCCCACCCGCGGAGAACGCGCAGGGCCCCTCCGGCGCCGGGCCACCCCGCAAACTCGCCCAGGCGGGCTCCAACCCCAAGCCGGCCCCGCGTTCCCAGGAAGCTTTGCCCGGGCTCTAAGCGGGGACAATCCAATGGAACAGACACTCAATCCCCAAAGCGCATGATTGCCGGAAAAAAGTAGAAACGAGACTTTCCTTGAAAATGTTTTAAATTATCAGTCGACGGAGGACAGAGTGTGTGAGCCTTTGCCGAACAAAACGTAAGTTATTGTTATTTATTGTAAGAACAGTCAGTTCACAGTGGGATGGTTATTTTGATGTTAATAAAAAAAAGTAATAACCCAACGCAGTGCTGCTGCTGTGTGCTGTGGGCACAGCGGGAGGGCTGGAAGAACGCGGGTTGGGGCTCGGAGCTTGTTTCAACGAAGCTTGCTTGAACGAAAAAGCTGCCGGGCGGGATCCGCCACGGGTGCCCAGGGGTGGGCCCAGCTCACAGTGCCCGCAACTCCCGCGCCGCTGCCCCAGGGGCTGCCGCGCGGCCGGGGGCGGGCCCGGCGGGGATTGGGCCCTCTAGGGGCGGGGCTGGGTCCGTGCGCCCCCCGGCGGCCCCGGCTGGCAGAGGGCGCAGCGGCAGTCCCGGAAGCCCGCGCGCGCCCCTGGCTGGAGGCCGGGCTCTGTCTGCACCACCCGGCTCTGCCCACCACCCTCCCGCGGTCCCGGGCGCTTCGAGGCCGAAGCCCGCGGGGCAGTGGGGGAGACCTCGGCTGAGCGGGAAACGTGCGATGCTCGGTTGGCGGCAGTTCGGCGGACTCCAGCCTGCGGTCAGGCTCGCGAGGGCGTCTCGTTCCCTCAGCTTTGCCTCTGCTCTTGGAGCAGAACCCAGCCTGTGCACCCCCAAGGTGCCGAGCCTCCACCCCTCGCTGCATTTTCTGCCGGTGCATTCGGGCCGTCCCGGCGCGTCTTTCCCGCACCCCTTGTCCAGGGTGCCTCGCGCGCTTGCCACTCGGGCCATGCAGCCGAACAGGGAGTCCACGGGCCCGAGGCGAACAGGGGGGCTGTGACGGCTCACCCTCGGCGCTGTCCCCAGAGTGGATGCGCGACGTGATCAATCTCGCTGCATTTATTAATTCCCCCGTCTAGACAGAGGAGAAGGCCGGGCGGCGGCTCCTTATCTGCGTTTGGCATCACCTGCAAGCGATACACTGAAGGAGCCACAACAAGCCCCCGCTAGGATCGCGGCTGCCCGGGAAAATAAGTCCACCCAGAACCAGTCTGGCGTGTCCTTGGTTTATTTTCTTTCCAGACCCGAAATGCAGGGGGCGGGGGATGGCCCGGGTGGGAGGGGGCTGGGAATGGCCCCTGGATATGCCGTGCCCAGGTCACTTGGTGTGACATTTCAAACCCCTGCGACTTGTTTTCTTGAAAACTGGCTTTAGTGATCGCAGGAAATAACCGAGAGATACTGAATCTCCAGCAGGCCCCCGGGCAAGCACAAAAAACAGGAGGCTCAGGTTTTACCCTTAACAAATATTTAACCCTTTGGCAGCCTGGGACAGTTCTTTTCCTCAGACCAGGCCTCACTTGGTGGAAGTTGCCACCCTACCAGTCCATCTACTACTCTTGAAGAATCTCTGGCATTGGGTTTCCGTTTTCTTGTCCCTCGAGATAAAAGACCCCAAGTATATCCTTCTTTGTCCAGGATTTGTTTTGAAAGAGGGCAATGCCCTGAGTAGGGGATAGCTCAGGTAGAGTCTGGTAAGGGAAAGTGTGTCTGAGGGTCAGCTGTGGTCTCTGGATAGAGGAGTAGGAGACTTCTGTTAAAACTGTGTGCTGCTTGGATGGCCAGAGGCCACCGTAGGGTTTTCAGGAGAGCTCAGGGCAGGATTCCGTCACCCCCGCCCCCATTAGAAATGGAAAGCTGGAAGACCAGCTGTCAGTTATTGAAAGAAAATGGGAGGTGGGGAAAATCAAGTCAAATTTGTATCTTACTTCCTCAAAGTCAAAGTGATGCTAGCACAAAATTTGAAGAAAATATTCCTTTTTTCTTTGGGATTTAGGAAACGGTGCTGCAAACTTCGAGATAAGGGAGGAGATACATAGGGTTAATGAGGACCAGCTTTACCTCTCAAGTGCCTAGAAACGGTTTTAATAATCAGGGTTAGATTCTTTGAGGCTTTGCTCCCTTAACTTAGACCATTCCCTCCCAAACAGAAATATAGATATTTTCTCTTACCTCCTCGCTGGCCATTGGATAGGAGGCTAAACTTCCAAGAAATCTTACTTTGGAAACCTTTTGATTATTCTGGAATATTGGGTTTTGTCATTTGAAAAACGAAAGTAACAGGGTCTAGAATAAAGAACTTCATTAATGTTTGTTGTTAATTAGCTCTGAATTTTTGCTTTTGACAGTCTGCAGTATTTGTTTAAATTTTTAAAAATTTATTTATGTATTTTGAGGGAGACAGAGACAGCATGAGTGGGGGAGGGGCAGCGGGAGAGGGAGAGAGATTATCCCAAGCAGGCTCTACCAGAGACCAACACTGGGCTCGAACCCACAAACGGTGAGATCATGACCTGAGCCGAAACCAAGTAAGATAGCTTAACCGACTGAGCCACCGAGGCGCCCTGTAAGACTGCAAATGCTACTAATGGAAACATCTGCCTATCTAATTACAGTAAACTCTTATTATCCATAGATCAAAAAATCTAATTCTTCTTTTGCTATTTATGTGAGGTGTGTCTGATTTTGAATATTGGGAAATTACCCAGATAAAAGTGGTTACCGTGTATCAGGATGTATCTGTATGTATTACTCTATAAAGTATCATAAGCTCTTCTGTAGATTGTTGCTAGCCACCCAAAAGGGTGCATCATTTCCATGGAAAGGCTTTGACTTTGAAGCCTTATTCCAAGGGTCGTTGGTGTGGTGTTAGATCTATGGTTGGCTACATTAATAAATATCAGTTTTACTGGTTCCCAGGTCATCTTTAAACATGTTCTGTAATACAGTTGGGATTTCCTTGTAAATTAAATTACCTGTAACAATTACAAATGTTGTATTTTATGCTTACTGAACTTTCAAAGTGAGATGCCCAATTGTGTAGTAAAAAGTTCAATAAAAAGGGGTCACAGGTGGAAAATGGGAGTTAGTTATTTAACTAGATTCACTTTAGAATAATATTTTTTTCAGAAGATTTATCTAATAATGTGGATAGCTCTATGTAATTGAGGCAGGAAAGGGATTCCCAGAGATGGAAAAGTTTATGACCATTATACCACAAAAATTTAATACATATTGAAAGGCTGCACAATTCTGGGAAATTCAGAGTCCTTGTGGCAGTATTCCCAACGAACTTTAATAATTTAATGGGTTGTGGAACAGAAATCAGCCTTTCAATTTTGAATGTGGAATGGCTTTAAGCTCAGAGCTGCAAATATTGTGTTTAAATGAGACTTTGTCTGAGATTGTTCTCTAGAAAATGTTAATTCTGCCGCTGCTGCCTGGGGGAGGACATGCATTGCCACACATTTAGTTAGCTGTGTTTTCCCATACAAGTGGTCACCAGAGAGAGCAAGAGAATTAGCTGAATAGCAGCATGCTGGAGAGAGGAAACAATGAATGAATAATAAACTATTTGAAGAGAAGTTCCAAGCAGGAAATTCAGAGTTTATTAAGCTGATGTGGGGAAGATTAGAGGCTTTTAAATCGGGGTCTGATTGATGTAAAGGTAAACTTTCCTCAAGATACTGGGATTCAGTGCAATAATGAGGATTGTGTGACCAATTACAGACTAACACCTTGTTGAGAGAGACTGTGCATGGACGATGCAGATAAACGAAGTTAGACTGAGAATAGCGATGGCAGAAGAAAGGGGCACACGAAAATACTCACTGGGATCCAGATGTGGATTTGTGTGGGGATTTGGGGTTGGCTCAATTTATAAAGCAAGTTTGGGGCCTCGCAGCAACTGGGCCAGAAAGGCAGGACTTCTTGGTGATCAGGGCACCTCCTCAAAGTCAGCGGCTGGTGGGAGAGTGAGTGAGGGAATGAGAGGAGGTGCAGGAGTTTAAGAAGGCTGAGAATCTCCCCGTAGGGAAACTGGATATTTAACGGGGGTGGGGGTGGGGGGGGGTGGTTGGAATATGGGAGGCGGGAGAACCCCTGGGTTGGGGGCGTGGGAACTGGGAGAGAGAAGTGGAAGAATAGGGATGGTGAGGAGTAATCCCTTTTCAGATTATGGACACCTAAGAATTTAGAAAGCTGGCAAGGAGCTCTGGAAGAAATGACCCATGTGGTTTTCCCAGCTGCGCTGGGGATGGAAGGAAAGCCAGGGCCGGGAGGTGAGGTCCCGACCTAGGCGCACCGGGGGCGAGGTGCAGGGTCCGGGTCACAGAGTCCCGGTGTGCCCGGAGCCACGGAGAGGCTCCGGAATTTCGTCAGGAAGCTATGGCTCCGACATCCTGTTGGGCGTCCAGGGTGTCGACGAGTCCTGCCGAGCTCCCCGGAAGGCGAGCGGCCGCCCGGAGCAGGAAATTCGGCTGGGCAACAGCAATGGGCGCTCAAATGTCACTGCTGCCGGGCTTCGGGGAGCTTTTTCCTATTTGGCTCAAATTCGGGGCTCCGATGCCCGAGTGAAGTTGCTGCTTTCGCCCCAGCGGCGCCCATTCGCACCGTCAGCTTCACAAGCTGCACCCAGCAAAGGCCTTTCGCCTGGGCCCAGCCTGATCCACCTGTGGCCCCTGAGCCACAGGAGACCCGGGATGCGGCCCCCGTCAAAGGAGAAAGCCAGTTGGTGGCACTTCTCCCCGCAAATTGGAACTGAGATGTGCCGGCGCTCACGGGCGTGCCGCGCCCTCTCAGTCCCTGGAGAGTTTCGAAGTCGTAAAACGCAGGGGACGCAGAGCTT